GTGTTAGCCTTGAGCAAAAGAAGCTCAGGGACAGTGTGCAGGCCCTGAATTCAAGCCCCAGGACTGACAGCAAAAAAAAAAAAAAAAAGTCAAAAAGTATTCTACATCCTCTGGCCAAGATTTGAAATTATACAGCCTAAAAAAAGAAAAAAGCAAAAATAAGCCCTAAAGCCATTTATGTAATAATCAATTTAGGAACAGGACAATCGTGGGCTTTTATCCCTAGTGTCCAGGCTACAAAATATTAGAAAATTCTCAAAAGTATGGTAGTCTTGGGCTTAAAAGGAACTATTCTAGACTTACATAGGTAATATATACAAAACCTAAATCTTTTTTAAAAATTATTAAATAAATTATTTTCTTTATAGAGTGATGGCCCTGACATAGTGAGGCTTTCTCAAAGTACTAGTCAACAAGATTTTAGCTGACTTACGTTTATATAGCTCAGTGTTTAAAATGCTTGCTTGGCATGCATGAGACCCTTAGCTAGATCCCCAGCACCGCCGCCACCCCCCCCAGGCATTAGTAAGCAGTCATTCCAAGAACATTTTTTAATACATTTCCCAGGGTCTGGGGTCCAATACAATATGTACGCTCATTTACTTAGGGGGTGAGGGGCAAAATAAAATTTTCACACAAAGAGAAATACACAAACTACTTTCAAAATACAGTGAAACTGGAGGTGTGGGGGACTCAAGTGTACAGCCCATATTAGTTAGATTCAACCCCCAGCACTCAAAATATATTCAGACAGAAAAATATCTCTAATCCCTAATAGTCTAACTGCAATACTACTGAAGTGGTTTAGTGATCTGTTTTAAGTAAATTTTTTAAACCATTCTAGCCACCACACCCATAATCCCAGCACTTGGGAGGCTGACCTAAGATCTCCAGTTCAATCAAGGCCAGCCTGAGCTACAAATCGAGACTCTTCCTGTCTAGTTTCTAAAAATTCTAAAACTTACTTTGTAAATCTTGTTTATGATGATGAATGTTGTATTTTCAAAGCCTCTGTAGTTAAAGGAGATTTTCTGGTAGAAACATTTCCTACAACTGTAGTAGAAACACCCAGCCTGCACTCAGTCCACAAATCCCATCTACTACACGCCCATAGCTGGCATTTGATGCTTTTTTTAGTGGTGATTGGACAATTAAGTCGTTTCTACCAATATCTAACATACCCTGCAATTTAGGATCACTGGCAATTTAGATTACTGTGTATTTACATTTAAAACGCAAGGCATCCTCTAGTGACAGGAGCTATGGTGTTCAATATCATTTTACATTTTACAAACAGAGGCTTCATCTTACATGCATGCGATGAACCCGCAGGGCTCTTCTCCCTGAAGCCTGGTGATAGTTATTTCTTCACGAGTGTTAGTGCCTAAACCAACAATCGCAGCTAAGTTCCAAAGGGCCTTTCTAAGAGTATCAGTATTCTTTTTTTAAGACAGAAAAAAAAAAACAACAACAACCCTTTTTTTCTGTCCATTTTCTCACCCTGCTTTGTATATCCAACAGGGGCGTGCTTCCAAAGAAAATATTAAAACAATTAGAATGAAAGTCGGAGATACTCTACAAGATACTAACCGTCATCGCCCCAATGGGAAAACTGGAGGGTGTGGATTCATTTTTGAGTGCTTTTATATCTTTTCAATTGGGCATCCTATACGGAAGAATCATGTCTTAAAGAACAAACCAATCGCCAGGGGCTCATGCCTGTAATCTAGCTTACTCGGGAGGCTGAAATCTGAGGATCCTTCAGCCTGGTTAAGAAAGTCCAAGAGACTGTGGTCTCTAATCACCGAAGAGCCAGAAGTGGAGATATATGGCTCAGGTGGTAGAGTAGCAGCCTTGAGCGGAAAAAGAAAAAGGACGGCATGCAGGCTCTGAGTTCAAGCCCAGTACAGGTATAAGAATAGATTTTAAGGGGGGCGGGGGGTGGAGAAGGACGGTTCCCGAACATACGCGGTTTCCACGAACATTTTCGTGCAAACAGCCGAACATTTTCGTGCAAACAGCCGTCACTGAGGATCTATGATTATCCATCATCTCTCAAACAACCTGCCGCTAAGCGGCAGCCAGAGCAAGATGGGGGAGACGGAATAACGCTACTAACCCACTACCGCTGCACTCCGCTCGCTCTCTCCACTCCCCTCCACGCGGGAGCGACACAGCTCGCCCCTCGCCTTCCCGGTTTCTTCGCCTTTAATCACAAAAACAGGTTGCCTTTGAAGCGCTGCTCTGAAACTACTAAAAGGAACTCTTTGCATGGGGGGGGGGGGGGGGGGGGGGGGGGGGGGTGAGTGTGAAAGAGATGGGAAGGGATGGGAGGAGGAAAAAAGAAAAAAAAAAAGAAGTTTCGTCTCGGGGAGAAGCGCGTCCCTCTTCCCAGCGCTGCACCCGTGAACCCGGGGCTCGGGAGGGTTCGCCCCGCGAACTGCTCTCTGGCTGAACTTTCCGGCCCCAGATGCCCTCGAGCTGCCCGCGCCCCGCACGGACCCCGGGGCTGCGGTCCCCGCCGGCGGGCGACTCTGGATCCGATCTACTGGCGGTAGACGGGCGACCGGACGGAGGAAGAGAAGCGCCGGGGGTGGTGGGAACGGGGCACCCCGAAACTTCCAGACCCGAGGGCTCCCGACCAATCGACCCCCTTTTCACCGACAAGTCGAACTGCCCAGAGCCTCCGGGACCCGAGACGCGAATCCTGCAGGAAACCCGGGTCCGGGACTGTTTGTTGGTTAAATGCCCCAGTGCGGGAGGGAAGAAAGCCACAAACGCCAGCCTGGTGCCAGCGCGGCCCCGAGGCCGGGCGGGGGGCTCCGCCGCACACCCATGCCCTTCCGGGTAACCCCAGGGCCGAGCGCGGCCGGGGGAGACACAACTTCGGGGGCCGCAGGGGGCAGTGGGGGCCCCGGGGCACCCCGAACTCCCGGGCAACCCCTGCTATCCGGGACTCCGCTCGAGCCCCCAAGCCCGCCGCCGCCCCGCCTGGGCTCCTCTCCCCGCCCGCGGGCTGCCCGCGGACGGAAGAGAAGCGGTGGCCCCGACACCCCAAACTCCATCCCGGCGCCGCCCGCCCTCCCGGCGCGCCCCTCAGCGCCTCGCGGGAGCCGCCGCCGCCGCCGCTCGCGGCGGGCAGCCCGGGCGCCGCGCCCTCTCCCCGCCGTCTCGCCTTGCACCCCACCCCTCGCTCGCCGTCGCCGCCGCCTCCTCCTTTATCTCCACTCACCGCCAGCCGCCATTTTCCTCGCAGCTCAGCTTTAAATCGGAAACTCGCCGCTCTGCCCGCAGCCGCCACCGCCGCCGCTGACTACGCCGCGGCCGCCGCCGGCGCTGTGAGGGGGCTGAGGCGGCAGCCGCCAGAGGCGAGGCGCGGGGACCGCTGGGATTTGTAGTCCTCGGGCCACGCCCAGCACTACCGGTCCCAGGGGCCCGTGCGCGGCTGGCCCTGGGTCTCAGCCCCCGCCCCACTGGCAGCGGAGGCCGAGGGCGTGGCCACGCGGGACCCGCCTCGCCCCCGGGCATCCGCGGCCCCGGGCAGACCCGCAGAGGCGGGGTACCGTCTCCGCCCGTGCTCGCCTCCATCTAGAAATATCTAAGGGAGCATTTACTGTACGCCCGGGACGGACCCTCCAAACCTGCCTCCTTTCAGGGACCAAGATCGCCCCGAGTCTTCGGAGGAGCCCCGAGGCTCTTCACGAGGCACTAAGTCAGCGGGTGGAAGGTTACCCGGCCAGGGAATATTCAGGTTTCTCCCGGTGTTTATGATGGGCTGCCGGGAATCGCATGCTTTACCAGGGAGAGAGCTGGCAGACGCGACGTGAACCGAGTCGAGTGAGCGATCGACTTGGTGTCACCCCCCTCTTCGTGGGTCAAACTGTCATTACATGTCTGCTGATGTGATGCAATGCGGAAAGCACATCGCTACCTCCGCCACCTCTGCTGTGCGCTGGCCAAAAATAAATAAATACATAAAAATAGCTAACCCAAGTCCAGCCGTGACAAAAAATAACCAGACCAACCCAGGAAGTGAGACTTCTCCCAGCAACTAGCCTGGACTCAGAAATAGCAGCGCACACAGAAGAGGTGAAAACCAAGTGAAATACGGAGGTTTGGTTGAGGATATATTTTTTTTTCCTTTTTTGTCCCCGTTTTTTTCTTTGGTTAGTTGGATTCAGGTGTGTAGGGGGGAGAAGGGGGTGGCGCCTTAACTCAAGGCCTCTTGTTCACTCTCCTTTTTGTTCCTGGTAGCACTCTACAACTTGAGCCACACCTCTACTTCTGATTTTTTTTTTTACTAGTTAATTAGGTATAAGTCTCTGGGATTTGTCTGTCCTGGCTGGCTCAGAACCTTGACCTTCAGATCTCAGCCTCTTAGGTAGAGCTAGGATAAGTAAGAGGAACTCAAGGAGTAAATTTTAAGTGGAGTATATTAGATAATAATATTGAACCAGCCCAGGCAAAGCCTTCTGTGTGAGTAAAATAAAAGAACCTGGGGGCTGGTAATGTAGCTGGTAGTGGTAGAGTGCTTGCCTAACATGCATGAAGCCCTGGGTTCAATTCCTTAGTACCACAAATACAGAGAATGTCAGAAGTGATGCCATGGCTCAAGTGATAGAGGGCTAGCCTTCAGCAAAAGAAGCTCAAGGACAATGCCCAAGCCCTGAGTTCAAACCCCAAGACTGGCAAAAAAAAAGACTGAATTTTTTTTTAGGGGGAGGGTCAGTCAGGGGGCCTGAACTCTGTCCCTCAGCTCTTCAGCTCAGCTCAAGGCTAGCACTCTACCACTTTAAACACAGCATCACTTCTGGTTTTCTGGTGGTTAACTGGAGATAACCATCAGGACTGGGGCTGGGAAGATGGCTCAGTGGTAGAGCGCTGGCCTTGCATGCCTGAGGCCCTGGGTTCCATTCCTCAGCACCACATATGCAAAAAGAAAAAAGCCAGAAGTGGCACTGTGGCTCAAGTGGTAGAGCACTAGGCTTGAGCTGAAGAGCTGAGGGACAGTGCCCAGGCCCAGAGTTCAGGCCCCCTGATTGGAACCCCCCCCCAAAAAAAAAAGAGTCACGGACTTTCATGCCCCAGCTGGCTTTGAACCGAAATCCTCAGATCTCAGCCTCCTGAGTAGCTAGGATGACAGATGTTAGCCACCAGCGCCTGGCTGAAAGAAAATTTTAAAATATGATACTAGCCAGAAGTCATAGAAACCTTATACTTTCTAGGCCATTTTTCAAATTCTTTACATCTTTTATTCACAACAGCATAGGTACTGTTGTGTCTTTTACAAAGGACTAAATGAGAGCATTCCATGGTGTGTTCCTCAAGGGCCAGCTTCAGCCTACTGTCTTTCTGTTAACTGAGAGCTTCATGGCCACCAAGTGGCTGCTGCAGCTGAAACATTACATCACAATCCAGTCCAAATGCAGGCAGTGGAAGAATGAATGGTTACAGAAAGTTACTTTATCTTCTGCAAAACATTTTTCAGATGTAGAACCCTTTCCAGAAGTATCCTCTTCCCTGCTCCAACACATGTCCCTACTTCTCATTACAGGAGGAACTAACTGGGCCACATGACCATCTCTAGGTGCAATGGAACATGGCGGGTATAAAGGCATGCTGGCTCAGCCTTGGACTCTACATGAACAGTGAATGCCTCTCAGGTGTCTCATCTAGCCTGAGGGCCCTGCTACAGTCTCTGCTGTTCTCACAGCCCCCTGTATTATGCCTTGAGGTTTGAACTGAAAGCTGTGTGTGCCAGGCTGTTCTACCACTGTGCTACATCCCCAGACCTTCCTTTTCTGAGTCAGAGTCTTGCTATATAGCTCAGGCTGACCTCAGATTCCATCCTCTTCTGCCTCAGTCTCCTGAGAACTGATATTACATGCATTCTGTGTACCATGCATGGCTTCATTATTATGTGAAAGCACAGAGTAGCAGTTAAGAGTATGATTGGGGCTGGGAAGGTGGCTCAGTGGTAGAGTGCTTGCCTTGCATGCATGAGGCCCTGGGTTTGATTCCTCAACACTACATAAAGCAGAAAAAACCAGAAGTGGCACTGTAGCTCAAGTGGTAGAGCGCTAGCCTTGAGCTGAAGAGCTGAGGGACAGCGCCCAGGCCCAGAGTTCAGGCCCCATGACTGACAAAAACAAAAACAAACCAATAAACAAAAAGAGCATATGGTATGCTAGGTGCTGGTGGTTCATGCCTATAATCCTGGCTATTCAGGAAGCTGAGATTTGATTATCACAGTTATTTTTGTTTTTGTTTTTGTTTTCCAGTCCTGGGGCTTGAACTCAGGGCCTGGGCACTGTCCCTGAGCTTCTTTTGCTCAAGGCTAGATCAAGGCTAGCAACAGCACTACGTCTAGTTTTTTCTGTGTAGGTGGTACTAAGGAATTGAACCCAGGGCTTCATGCATGCTAATCAAGCACTCTACCACTGAGCGACATTCCCACCATGATGATTATATTTTGAAGCTAGCCCAGGAAGAGTCCATGAAACTCTTATCTCCAATTAACCAGAATTTTTTTTTTAAAAAAAAGGCAGAAATAAACCTACAGCTCAAGTGATAGAGGACCAGCCTTGAGCTAAGATTCACTCAGGTCTTAAGTTCAAGCCCCCATCCACATAGACATACACACACACATGCGCACACATGCACATACATGTAAGCTTTGCCAAGTAAGGTGGTTCTTGCCTGGAACCCCAGCTACTTGGAGAGAAAAAGGGAGATCAGGAAGATCTCAATGTCAGACCAGGCAAAAACTTAACAAGACCCCATCTTAATCAAGAAACTGGGCATAGCAGTATTTATCTATGGTGCCTAGAAGAATTCAGAAAATAACTCAAAAGCAAGAAAGGGCTGAGGACATGAATTAAATTGTAGAAAACCTGCCTAACGTGCCTGAGGCCCTAAGTTCAATCCCCACAATGCAAAAAAAAAAAAAGACAAGCATACGACTTGGGTGCTTTACCTGCTAAGCCTGTTCTGCTACTTTACAAAGCTGTGTGATAATCGCTAGTTTTGTGAACTTTCTGTGCCTCCATCTTCTAAAATAAAAACAGCAATAAAACCAGCAACAGCAGCACCCTCTGAATCATGGGGGTATCACAAGGACTGAGTAAAACCAGTCCTGAAAACCTGAGGAACCCTGTCCAGAGCTCAGAGCCTACTCTACAATGTTCATAGTGACAACATGCAGCAGATCCAAACATGGGACATACCGGGGTTAATCAGGAAGAGGCAATGTCTGTGTGCTCTTTCCTCCTATTTTTTGCCTTAACATGGTTCTTTCAGTCTGAAGTTTCCCTGCAAAGTAGAAATTGGACACTGCAAATGCCTGTGACCTGTGGCCATTAGTAATGGATACCTAATCTGAAGGTAAGACACCACTCTCAGGCTCTGTCCAGGCTTCTCCTGACAGACAGGTAGACAGACAGACAGACAGACAGACAGGCAGGCAGGCAGGCAGGCAGGCAGGCAGGCAGACAGACAGGCAGGCAGGCAGGCAGGCAGACAGGCAGACAGACAGGTAGCAGGCAGAAGGATGGGATTGGGGGTCAAGGAATACTTTTTTTATTTGTTGTCTTGCTTAAAAGGAAGACATCTCTAAAAAGAATCCTATTAACAGCTCATCTTTCAGCCTTTCTGACCTAGAGTAACCTTGTACGTGCTTCTTTCATTCAACCCAGATAAGGGTTGGGCCAACCTGGGATTTTTTGTCTGTGTGCCAGGGATCTCCCAGAGCCAACTGGAATTGGCCCTTGTATTGGCTGCAGGGGAATTGTCCTGCCCTATGACCTGTAAGTGTCTCTCCATGGATGGAAGAATTTGAAGCTCAACTCCTTGCTAGTTGATTGGTTTATTTGCTATGGGTGTATGTGTGTGAATGGGGGGGGGGGGCTTGAACCCAGGACCTGGGCATTGCCCCTTTGCTTTTTCCACTCAAGGCTGGTGTTCTACCAGTTGAACCATAGCTCCACTTCTGACTCTTTGGTGATTAGAAATTACAGTCTTGTGCTGGGAAGGTGGCTCAGTGGTACAATGCTTGCCTTGCATGCATAAAGCCCTGGGTTCGATTTCTCAGCATGACATACACAGAAAAAGTCAGAAGTGGTGCTGTGGTGCTAGCTTTGAGCAAAAGAAGCTCAGGGACAGTGCCCATGCCCTGAATTCAAGCCCCAGGACTGGCAGAGAGAGAGAGAGAGAAATTACAGTCTCATGGACTTCCCTGACCCAACTGGCTTCAACACAGTATCCTCAGATCTCAGCCTCCTGAGTAGCTGGGATTACAGGTATGAGCACCAGTGCCCAGTTTGTTTTTCTGAGACATTCA